CCGCCCGCCCGCCCGGAGCGTGCCCCGGAGGGCAAAAGTAGGGGCCGGAAACGGCCCCTATTGCTTGATACATGTAAATAACTAGCGGGAGCTAGCACTGGCGCGGCTTTGCGGGGTGCGTTAAGCTCCACCAACCAACAAAAAGGGGTCTGGATGAGTCCAGAAAAAGAAAACCCCCTGATCGACGAGAGCTTGGCGGCAGAGTCGAAACAGGGGGGGGATGATGCTGCGGGTTTGCCCAGTCGGTTGACCCGCTACTCTCGGGCGCATCATCGTGCGGTCGAGATGGCCGATTATCTCAGCGAAGCGGGCGAAGTCAAGCTTGGGCGCAACCTCGCGCTCTGCGGGTATTACCTGCTGTTTCGGGATTACTACACCGTGGGCAAGGTCCGGCTGCATGCCGCGAAGTTCTGCCACAAACATCTGCTGTGTCCGCTTTGCGCGATCCGGCGTGGCGCTCGCATGGTCAAGTCGTACATGGATCGTCTCGCGGTCATCAAAGCCGAGAATCCGCATCTCAACGCCTACTTGGTCACCTTCACTGTCAAGGATGGTTCTGACCTGGCTGAACGCTTTGATCATCTGCATCGGAGCATCGGACGCTTGCATAAGACTCGCCACGGTAAGGGCCAATGGTCTGAGGCTCGCAAGGCTTCGGCGGCGGTGTGGTCCTATGAGTTCAAGCGAGGGCAGGGCAGCGGTGGCTGGCATCCGCACACACATGCGGTTTGGCTCTGCGAGGATGCGCCGGACATGTACAAGCTGCGTGCCGAGTGGGAAGCCATTACCGGCGATTCGTTCATGGTCGACGTTCGGCCGTTTCACGATCAGGACGACGTCCTCAACGGCTTCCTCGAGGTTTTCAAGTACGCGGTCAAGTTTGCGGACCTTTCGCTCGATGACGCTTGGCACGGCTATCAGACGCTTTCCGGGCGTCGGCTGATCGCCTCGTTCGGCGCGTTCCGTGGCGTCGATGTGCCTGATGACTTGACCGATGAAGGTCTCGATGATCTGCCTTATGTTGAGCTGCTCTATCGCTTTGTTCGAGGGGCTGGTTACGAGTTTTCGGAGTCGGGGCCAAGCGCGGAGCGCGAACGGCCAGAGCCGCCTAAAACGCTCGTAGAGCGCGTTTTGCCTCGCGCACGTAGTGCGGCGACAACCGACCAGAAAAAACCGCACTGGAAGCCTGCCATAGAGCCGGAGAGGTATCGACGCGCCAAAGGCAGCGACTAGCGTCAGGAGTGCCCGCGCCCTATACCAAGCGGCTGAGGCGGTGCATTCGCAGAACTCCGGCTGGTTGACGCGCGGCTAGCGCGGCTGGCGGGGCCGAGTAGCGGGTCTCTGCGTCCACTTTTCGACTTTTCCACCACGGCTTGCGGACCTCCCTCCTGCAAGCCCTAGTGCATTTCCATTTTCGATGGTATATGCTCCATTTGTCGGAACAAATGTTCCAAAAACTGGAGAAATGGAAAATGCGTACCCCCTTGGATTCCCTCGTTACCGAACACGCTCTGCGCCTGGTCAACCAGTCCGGTAATGCTCAATTCACCGATGCCATCCTCGATGGTCGCGTGGAGATGGTGAGCGGTGAGTTGCCGTACAAAAACGTCTGCGCGAAGGTGCATCCGTGGCTGTCGGACGAGATCGACAAGGTTGTCGATCTGCTTGGCATCAGTAAGCGCCAATTTCTTGAGGCGGCCTTCATCGAAGCTGTGAACAAAGCGCACGCCATCATTGACGCTGAAGGCGTGCATGAGCGTTTCGCCTCTATTGCGGCTGAAACGAAGGAGGGCTGACCTATGGCCATGCTCACGCTTAACGGGCTGGTGCAGAACTGCTTCGATACACCGGAAACGGTGGACCGCAAGACTGGTGAGGTTCGGCCTGCTGCATCGCGCATTCAGATCCTCGCGGAGAACATCCTGCAGAACGGTCAGCGACGTATGGAGCTTGTCACTCTGAAGGTTAAGGACAGTCGGCCTTATGCCGCGCTTGTCGGTAAGCCTGTGCGCGTCCCCGTAGGCGCGTTCGTTTCTGGCTCCGCGGTTCAGTTTTATGCGCTCAATGAGGCGGTGTCCGAGGACAAGCCACGTGCTGCTGCCTAGCGGGCTTGCGGAGGTCGGACGGACGGGTGCGCAGCGACCGCCCGCCCGCCCGGAGCGTGCCCCGGAGGGCAAAAGTAGGGGCCGGAAACGGCCCCTATT